TAGGCAAGGGCATTATCAGCGTTCAGTCTCCTGAGCCGGTCTTGACTATTAGACAAGACCTGCAAAGCACAAATTTATTCAAATTCACAGATTTTTTAGTCAGAGAGTCAACAGAAGTCAATATATGATATATTTCCAACGATTTGGTTCTAGAATTTCACTTTCTTTTACCAGAACACCCCCGTCCATTTTATGGTATATTCCTTGTGTAAGTTGTCCAGAAGAATCTCCATATATGGGCTTTGCGGGCTTGTGGTGAGTCACATGCAGACTTTTGACCAATTGGGATGGATAAAATTATCTTGTATCCAGGTGCCAGAGCACACTTCATGCAGTGGGCATTATCACTTCTCAGTGGGCATTATTAAATTGTTAAAACACGGTCACATTGCTCGCTGTTGAAAAGGGGAACTGTCTGAGGTGTTTGACTTTAAATGTATTTTCTTGGCAACCTGAATTTTTAATGGTTGTGATACATGCTGACAGTTATTACTTGAAAAAGGCTGGAGAGTCCTAAAAGATGGTGCTTTCTGTAAGACAATTAAAGCAGTATACTGTCAAAATTGTGGCTTCTCTGGTAAATATCACTTGATACGTGACACAGACTTGCCACGGGCTATACATATACCTGATTAATCTTCCAATTCGTTTGACAAACTGCCGATAACGAGACCGATTATATGTCTGCACTCCTTGATGAAGGATCCTGATCAGGCTGGAAGCAAAGGCTATGAGCTGCATCATGTGATGGCTACCGACACGATCTACACTGTATGAAGCTTTCCCATCTGTATCAAAGGAACACTGCCAATATGTTAATGTACTCGCAGATCAAGCTGCATTAAGAGGCAATCCAAACTGGGCATATTTTCTGTTCTTTGGGAATGGTCATAGATGTATTCAGCAGTATCTGAATAAAAATGGAATGACAAGTGAATGTTTGTACCTCAGAAGTAATAATAAATTGACAGTATTTATTGGCTCGTAATTTTGACCATTCAGTTGACTACAAAGTTTTTAAGAGCAAGACTGAATAAGCACGCTAACTAGTCTCAGAGAAGGACATTAAGTATCAACAAGAAAAAAAGAACTGAATAAACATCCATCATATGAAATCACCTGCGTCATCTGTAATCTGTAGGACATGTTTAAACATCTTGTCAAAGGGATATTGAGCCCAAATGGCCACCAAGTCATTCTCATTAAAGAGGGTGTTGTCTGTGTCTTCATCCTACAAAAAAAAAAGTAATCTATTTACAGGATGGCCTGTAGACTGACATCTTTCCACTGTCTGAAGAAACTAAGCACATCAACTGAAGAAATGACAAGTATTAAGTAAGACACTGCAGCAAACTACTTGCAGGCTACGGTGACCTAAAAAAAAAAAACTGAAAAAGCTAGAGGGCCTGAGATTTTAATCCCAGTAGAATCATTCTAAAGGCCCTGTGAAAAGATTCTGCTCGGATCTAAATGTCAGGCCCTCTAATTCTTTTGATCAAATGAAGATGTAGAAGGAACACTTCCACTTATAATTAACAATGAAAGCTTTAGATGAGTAGGTGTAAAGTTATTGGTAATGTACATGTATGCTTAGTCATAGACATATTAAACCTGCTTTAAAACTGTGCCAATACTTCTCGCTTCACAGAGGATTGGAAGCAGGTGCAGGCTTTGATCTTTACAGCGGCCACCAGCGGCCACTGCCACAATGCCCCAGTGAATTGCCATGATGCCCTTTAAAAATAGCACGTATCTTTCGGCCACTTGGTCAACATGCCCCCTCTTCAATGATCAGTAGGCACCTACCGTACATGCCTTTGACCAAGTTACAAGTTACCATTTAGCTCTAGCGTTTCTGTCAATGGCTGGCCACACCAAGCACTATTTTTTTCACGGATGTTTTGCATTGCCTTGTAGACAATGAGGTATAGCAACCACATCAATGTAGTTGAGTTGTGTGATTCTAAAAACGTGGCACTGAATTACTTTTATACATAGACTGGTATACTGACTGGTATACTGCCTCGAAGCACAGAATTACACATTCTGCACCGATTGGATTCTGTACATTGCACATATTGAGAGTGAGCCACTGATATTTTGAGATTGCGGGTGGGGGTACATGTACGACCCAAGTCTGTGTTTTTTCCTCGCTATTGTGCCCACATTCATGGGCACAATAGCGGGCTTCTATTGGATAAATATTTGTGACCCAGTGACCGGCTTATTTGAATTGCATTGTTTGTACTTACATTAATTTTCAAAATACAGACAGTGTTGGCTTTATGGCATCATGAAAAGTAATAAAAACACCAAATGGTAACACCAAATGGTAAATGGTAACACCAAATGGTAAATGGTAACACCACATGGTAAATGGTAACACCAAATAGTAAATGGTAACACCAAATGGTAAATGGTAACACTAAATGGTAAATGGTAACACTAAATGGTAAATGGTAACACTAAATGGTAAATGGTAGCACCAAATGGTAAATGGTAACTATGGTACATGTAACACTAAATGGTAACACTAAATGGTAAATGGTAACACTAAATGGTAAATGACAACACTAAATGGTAAA